TGTGTGTGTGTGTGTGTGTATGAACTAAGACGTATAGGACGTGAGATGTATTCAGCCAATTTCGTGTAAGGTAGTATGAGTGGTAAGTGAATTTTTCCGCATTCCTATGGCCACTCAACCAAAAGATATTCTGATCCCGTTGGAACTGGAATTCAGGTTCCACCTCGTCTCAATCGCATCCGCATCGTTAGCGACACTCAAACCATACCAGCGCAGCAAAGGTGTATATGCTACAGCAATCAACTTTATTACTGCTTTTTCGTTCATAAATGCGAGTTTTAGACTAACAATAGAGCATTTAAATGAGATATAATCGGCTAATTTCGTTTAAGGTGACATGGCAACTCGTAGTTGAATGTGTGAATGTGTGAATCCAACCAGAAGCGTGGCCAATAAAAGGATAAGATACGAATTCTGGTCACACTCGGTTGCAAAAAGTAAGTGAATTTTCATAAAATCAAGTCACTAGAAGGTCATTGAAGTTTATTTGGTCTTGCAGAAAAGCGCATTTTCAAAGAATCTCTTGATACAAGTGCGACCATACCAAAGGCCACAACATCTTTTTCTTCATCTCTTCAATCTGTTGATAGTTTGGTCTGAATGAGGTGAATAGAGGGAGCTCATAAGTTGGTCGCACCGGAAGTCGAAGGAGTGTGAAAATAAGTTGCCGGCTCATCTTCTCGACTCGGGTGGATCCTTGCCGAGATTTCGTCCGTCTTATGGCCAACATCGTCAGAACAGGACAGCAGGTTTGGGTCAATTCATCAAAACACGAAGACACGAAGAAATGACCAGCTGCATGCCAATCCACTTTGGACAGTAAAACTTTGTCCGCTTCATGCGACATCACATGAGGGTGTTGATGAGACCGATGCAAGGTCGAAACTGCAGTCCACTCCAGCCGGGATGAGAAAAACTTTTGGGAAAATTCTTCTTTTACCAGTCCTTCATTAGCTTAAACGAAACTGTATGAATAAACCTCATACTACTGATTTACTGGAAGTCTCGAAAGCAATACTTAATTACAAAAATATGTGAAATTGAATGGA